CACACACATATATTATTAAATATACTGTGGAAGGTGCCCCCGGGGCACATCGATGGGATGGGACGGCACCCTCAGCACCCCTTCCCCACCCTAAACAAGGCGAAGAACAGTTGACCACACTGTAGCATCCTTCAAGTCATAAGCCACTTTATTCCAGTCCCTTGAACCGCACAGGCTGGCTTGACTTCAGACAGAACGGACTCCATTTCCAGAGGTCCCTCAACACAGCAATGACAATGAACAGCCCAGCACAGGAGTGACATAAGCCTTCAGGCATTCAGCCTTCTGGGTGCTGCAGAGTCCCGTGGCCACACTCGAGCGCACTGGATTAGACATACAAAGGCCTTCTTGGGAAGGAAAAGAATGAGAAAAACAACCCTCAAGAAAATACAGACAGGGTCAATGGCAGGCCAGGCAAGGACGATTTTCCATCTATCCTGGGCATGTCGGTGTTCGTTAGCCATGCGTCTGCTCTGGTTTTTTAACAGCTGGAGACACGCTTCCCTGCTGCTCACTCCCTAGATCTAGGCTCTAGGGAACAAAGTGAGTCTGGATCAATAAGATGTCATGACCGAGGGCAGAGCCCCGGCTGGCTTTCCCCAACATTAACTGACTCCACCATCTAAGCACTAAAGGGAGAACGAGGTCTTTACTCAAGAGCGTGAGAAAGTGGGGCGCGTCTCCTGAACACTTCCCGCAGATGTGCCGGCTCCCTGGCCACTCTGCACGCCATGCCTTGGGTGGATGCTCTATTTTTCAAAACGAGATTTTGCCACTTGGCCTATGGGGAAACTCGGCAAGTCTCACAGTCTGGAACCACTATGAGAAACTGACACTCAGAGGAAGATGAAGATTATTTTACTGAGTCCAGGTCTCAAAATTTCACCCTGGAAAGTTGGTTCACTTTGGTCAACGGTACAAATTTGGAATTTTACTATCAGTTAAAATGGACTGGAGTGATACATAGGAATCTGGAGGTTGACATGGACACGGTGTCATTTTCTTCATGGTTATGAGCTTCTCCTTCTGCGGTTCATGGTCTATGGGAAGTAGCTTGGCAGCAGACGGACCCAGTGGGGACCCCTCTGCCTTCCCTTGGGACAGGTTCTCCCCATCTACATCCTATAGTGTTTGGGCTTCCCCATGCCTAGTGCTTGTGAAAATATGACTTACCTGTGGCCAGCAACTTTTATTCTTACCTTTCAATTCAAATTAGGGTGTATGAGGTCATCAGACCACACAACAACTCAAATTTGTGTTATCACTTCTGGAAATAGAAATCTGCATTCAAAGAACATGATGATGATGGAAGTACTTTTGGATTCCCCATAGAAGGCCTTGGAAATCACAGACACACTTGCCTGGGCCTTCTTCAAGATGAACCAGATGACTGCTCAACCTCTGACTCTTTTAAGGGCCTCTGGGAGCATGGAAAAGTCAACATTCCAGCTATGGCTTCCTAACCATACAGGTGGACTCGAGCACTGGGAAGTCCTGAGCGTTTATGCTGTTTGGAGGAGGGGGAGCGTCTACAGAATATTGATCTGCTCAGAAAAGCACCACACCTCCAATTCAATACTATCAATCAGCTGCTGGGCTGGGAGGGCGAACCATCACCTCACATCTCTAATAAATATGAAGCTTCTGTTGCTCCAACTGACATGTCCGACTTAAACCTGCCCCACTTAAGTTCTCTAGGCACTACCACTGGAAAAGCATTCAAAATTCAGGCTGGGCCCTAGTCATGGTTACTTTGTACTCTTCTGGAATATATAAAATATACCTGTTGATTGGTGCATTTGTGCAAAGACGGATATGACCTGAAAACAAGACATAGACATTCTTTATAATTGGCTTACTTCACAATAAGCTACTGCAGTCTTCTGTAATAAGATTGTATTAGTGCTCACTAAACATGCATTTCATTTAAACAAGGCAAAACACTTAATTTGGTCAGCAATACCCAATATTTTATATACAACAATCTTTTTTTTTTAAACCACAATAGTAGGCAACAAGATGGATCTGGTTTGGGAATAGAAGTTACCATTTGCTTTTAATTTCCAAAGACACTCATCTTAGCTCAACTAGTGTAAACCTGGGAAGAAATGGCTGAGCCGTCTTTTTCCTCTATTAATTGACCTTAAAATGTTCACAGCTTAGAAACTACAGCCTGCTGGGGAGAGAGTGGGGTGGGCCTCTAGGGGGATCCCCCAGGTCCCTTTAAGAGCCTGGCCCCAGAGGATTCTTCATCCCTGGGGAATCCAGCATCTTCCCTAGGGCATGCGTGACTCCAGACCCAGGTGGGGAGTTTTGTTTTTCAAACAAGCCCCTCAAGCTTGCACTAGAATCACTGGACTGGATTGGTTTTCCCTTGGCTTGCCTCCCCCGAGTCTTCACTTTTAGAACACAGACTCTCGAATCAAAGGGAAAATAATAACAATGAAACATCTTCAGAACAACGAACACCACAAAGTCTGTGCGTGACAGCACTGTCCATGCTCTCCACAAGCGAGCGGGGGCTGCAGACACTCCCACGAAGCGTCCATGACAAAAGAAGCTGAAGGCGGCATGGAGAAAGGTGCATCCGACCACACGGGGAACAGCATCACCGTCAATATTGTTTGGCAAAAAAAAAAAGTTGGAAAAAAAATTCCGAAGGGAACACAAGCAGCTCTACCGTTCGTGGGACGCCGGGCTCAGAACTGGCCGGCGCTGCTGGGGTCGCACTGCAGGAGGCGCACTATGGACGGGTCGCTCTTGGCCCCTCGGATGAATTCTTCCAGGGAGAGTTTTCCTAGAAAGTAAGAGGACCGGTGAGCGGTGGCTGCCGGCAGCTGCACGATCGTACAGTCTTCCCGCAGCATCTTGCGGCAGCAGCGGCTCGCCTCCTCCCGCCTTCCCCCGCCGTGTGAGACCCACCGTGTGTCTTTCCGGGCGGAGACCCCGGGGCAGGGTCTGGTACAGCAGCGCCCCGCCGCCCCCCGGGCACAGCACACGGCGTCCCGGGAGCTCACAGTGTGCCCGGCCCTGGCGTTGCAGGTGGGGGTGCTGGGTGGCCCTAACTAATATGGTGCCTGCCCTCGTGGCCCTTCCAGCTGCAGGCGCCCTGGGGGGCTCCTTCGGGTCACTCGGGTAGGTTTGCTGGAAGAGTCCCTCACCCGGCATGTGGGCAGAGGGGCCAGAACAGACATCCAGGGGAAGGGTTCCTTCTTTTGGACGAGGTGTGAGAACAGCTGTCCTTCCCTCCGAGGTAAGGGGGATAGAGAGGGATGTGCTCCAAGCAGAGGGCACCTGCTGGGTCCCTCCTGTAAATCTGGGCACTTTCTTCCTACCGCGAAGGGCTGGAGGAGGGAGAATATCTGGGATTCCACTCCTACCTTGTGTCCTTGTCCTTCCTGCCTAAGCTAGAGATGGTTTTAAATTCCCTTCTAGAAATTTCCTCATGCTGGTCGGGAGGCAAAGCTCCTTCCCCTTCCCTGGCATGGTGGGCAAACCCTGCATTTGGCATCTACATCTGCTCACTGGCTCCCACTAAGCACCTGCGTGCGTTGGGGCTGGCTCCCAGACTGGGGGCCAGATTCTTCTCTCCAAGCCAGCGGCCAGGGGTTAGATGCAAAGAACTCCTACCAAGAGGAGTCTAATGGCAGGAGATTCCAGGTGAGGCCTCTATTCCGGCGCCCCGCCTTGGGGTCCAGAAGCCCTGAGTGGAAGCGCCAAGTGTCCTGGTTGGGCAGAGTCTGACCCCTTGCAGACTTAAAGCCCCTCCCTGTACGGTTTCCACTCTTTTTTTTTTTTTTTTTAATAACCCAAGGCTTTCCCTTAGGAAAGTACAGGGCTTTCACAGGCAGGGCCCTGTGACCCCAGTGTGGGCGAGTCCCAGCGGGCAGGCTCTGATCTCTCCCAGTGGGGGTTTCATCGTGCGGTGTCGGGGTCGTCTCCCTTCCTTCACACCTGTTCTAAAGAGGATGCGGGCCTGGGCAGGATACAAGTCTACCTGCGCTCTTCTGGAGCATCAGCAAATCATGCAGTTTAACGTCAGCGAGTTTATTAGTCCCTTAAAAGAATACTGTTTATTAAGTCTTTGCAAAACAAACTTTGCTGTGACTCAAGGCACAAAAAGAAACGGGATGTAATGGCACCTTTGTCAAGCAACAAAACAAAGAGACTGGCCTGTACCCTGCAAACCCGGATACTCTAGCAGCTGGTGCCCCAGAGGGCACAGGGATAGAAACGGAGGCTCACTCTGCAACAAAGCCTTCTGTCGGGGGTATACCGGTGCATCCACTCATCACTGACAAGAATCGCTGGGGAAGCCCAGCAGAACACGGGAGCCGGAAATAGCAGCAAGAGCAACAGATGACTGGGGCTTATTACGGACTGGGCTCTGTGCGAACACTTTAAACGCAGGTATTACGTCTCCATGGGGTTGCCAGGTTTGGCAAATAAAATACAGAATGCCCAGTTAACTTTCAATTTCAAATAAACAATTTCTTCAGTATGTCCTAAATATTGCATAGGGCATGCATACATTAAAAATTCATTTGTTATTTATCAAAAAGTCAAAGTTAATTGGGCCTCCTGTGTTCTATCTCGCAATCCAACATCTAAAACCCACTGTTCTGGAGTTTGAAATCCGTCCCTCCTTTCATTTTGGCTTGCTCTGCATCCCCTTGTTGGGCCTGAATTATGGGTGGCTCCCTCAGAGTGGAACCTGCTGGTCACCTAAGCCCCCAGCAGCTGAGGGGCCCTGCTTGGCTCCAGGAAACCCGACACTTTGGAGCAGGTGCAGGAGACCCCAACAAAACCCCTTGGACAGGCTGAGAGGAAGGCTACCAGGGTCAGGATGGACACCAAGCCCCTCCCCACCTTCTGACTAGCTGGCCTGCAGGATCCAGCCTGCTGTGGACCACTCTGGTCCTCCTCCATCCTCCTCTGGCAGGTGACATGCAGGACGAGCCACTTTCACAAAGGGCCTTGAGCCAGGTCCTTACGGTCTGTATCTTGTCCTCGAGTGGCATTTCCCAGCGGCACACCCCAGCCCCTCCAGCAGCCCCCACTCTGAGCGAAGCAAAGCAGCCATGGCCTCCTACCGTCTCTGTTGGTGTCCATCTGGCGGAAGATCTTTTCTGTCCTCTTCTCTGGGGTTGACTCATCTTCAGGCATTTTCATTACGGAGGAAACCATCTTATAGATTGCCTGGGGACAGAAGCAGCACCGTGGTAAGATGGACACATGCTTTGGTTTGGCACACAATGGCCCTGTTATTAAGCCTCCCAAATACAGGGGTGAAAAGCACGCCGCCCCTTCACACAGAGAGCTAGCTCGGTTCCTGCCGATCTGCTCTAAAAAGAGACATACAATTGCTGGTGAGAGCAGCCAGGCCAGCGGAGCTGGTCCAGCGCTAAGACCCTTCAGGAACGACAGTGGCAGGGAGATCCACTCGCCCCCCAGTGTCTAACTTTAATGTGCACGTGAATCCTCTGGGAATCTTGTGAAAATATGGAATCTGACTGAGAAGGGTGGGCTGGGGAGATGGGGAGATGTGGAGCTTGAGACACTGCATTTCAAACGAGGTCCTTGTGTGTTGCTGCCGCTGTTCTGACGTCCCTGCTCTCGGGCTATAGACGACATTCCTCAGGACAGAGAGGCAGGTCGGTGTCTATGTGGTCTCTCCCTGCATCCCTCAAGGATGATAAACACTGACCTCAGTAAGGACCTGCCCTCCTCTTCTCCCAGACAGACATTACCAATCCGCCCCAGTGCTCTTTCCCCTTGTATGTGGCAGTCATCTTGCATTCCTTCTCAGCAAGCTGTCAGGTGTCCCCAGGATGGGAACAATCTGCCATCTGAGTTCGGGATTAGATAAGTCTACAGCCTTAGGCTTGAGAGCAACTGAGTACATCTGAAATCTGATGGGCGAAAGAGGATTCTGTAAGGATTCTGAAAAGGTTTTATAAGTGGTACTAAAACTATCTCCCCTACCGCCTGTGGACCCCCCATGGTATTCAGTAAAGGCCTGGAAAGACTCGGCTGTCAAATGCTGTTTTTATTTTGGAAGAATAATGTAAAGTCATTGTTTTCATCCCCAGTCCATGGTTTTGCTACTCAGTTTTAACCCCTAGACAGAGTTTTAGAAAAAGTAGATTTTGCCAGAAGGTGGGCAGAGAGCTCTGGGAAGTTCTGGAGTTTGGAAAAGAAAGGCAGGCAGTGGAGGGGAAGGAGCCTCCAAAGGGGAAATGCGGGAGCCAACAGGCTGCAAAAAGAGTTGGTGGCTGAACTTCTCTGCTGTACAGACTTGCTCAGGATCAATCTTGCCTCAATCCCAAAAGTGTTCTGGAGAAATGCGGGTAAATATTATGATCTCAGGAGATAAAACAGGCATGAAAAGTGGACTCACCCAGTATGCTGACCCTTGGGCTGATCCCACCCCATTGGGAACCCTCAGGCCAGGCCCCCTGAGTCTGACTTGAACCCACCCAAAGCCCTCACTGAATTGTAGTGAATCTTTCTGGGAGGAGGGCCAGCTGGGAGTCCTGGCCCCGCCTGGGGATGGGTGTCCCTGGGTAAGGAAGCTTGGTCACAGTCAGCTTTCCCAAGAGACATTCACTGAAGTGTGTTCCAGAGGTGAGGGGCAGGCCATGCTCCGGCTTCCTGCTCGTCCCCCATTGCTGTCCCCTAGCCCAGGTCCACCTGCCATCTGTGCTGGGGTTAGAGTGCCACATGCCAAGCCAGTGGGGCACCTGGCTCCTTGGTGGGGCTAGAAGAGGCTGCAGAGGTAGAGACTGTTTTACAAATGGGGAAACAGAGGTGCTGGGCTTCCAGGGCCAGGTGACTATTTAGAATCAGGAGTAGAAAGCAGGGGTCTCTCCACACCAGCTGGGTCTTGAGGTCCTGATGCCCTCTGCTCAGCTTTCTTTGCTCTTACATGGAAGTTTTTCTGTAATCTTAATCCAAAGAGGAATCGGTGACACTAACCGATGAACACACATACATACACACCCCCCCCCAGATGTCATACTTACACAGTCTAAATATTTTGTGAATTTGTAAGCTCAGGAATCTTAGAACAATGAGAAAACAGTGTCCAGAAATCAGCCCCCAATTAGACCACCAGCACATCTCTTTAGAGGTGCAAGAGATGACCCGTTTCAGGAGCTGTAGAGCGGATATGGGCGGGGCATCTATGGCATAATAAGTTGGCTTTTGGCTGGGTCTTAAGGATGCTGTGTAATCAAGCTTCCTTCCAAGTCTGTTCTGGCCTCAGCAAGGTCCCAGTGTAGCAAGTAAACCCACCGGACTGGAACACTTCTTGGAGCTCTCAGTCTCTAAGAGTTGAAGCTCATGAAATTCTCCTTCTTTGCATTCTGGAGGGAAGTCAACTGTATAATAATCTAGAGATTTTTCTCTTACTACTCTGGTTGAACCAATGAGTGAAAGAGTAAAAAGCCAGATGAATGTGTGATAGAAAACAAGGCTCTCACACCCAACAGAAAGTCTTCAAGAATTTAGTCTTTAGCTGTTAGGCTAAAGGAATTGGGTGGGAGCAGAGAAATGAGGGCAGCTCACACAAAAACAAAAACAAAACAAAAATGAAGGAGGCAGGGTGCCCTTATGTGAGTGTATTTGCAAACGAGGCTGCTGGGATTGTGCAGGAGGTGCATGGCTGAGTGTGCTGTGGGGTTGAGGAGGGAGTGAAGGCACGTTTAAGAGACTAACATTTCCAGATGGCTGTCATAGCACTCAGACGAGATTTTTTTTTTAAATGTGCATCAGCTCACAGAAAGGGATTAGTGGATTATTCACAAAACCAGGTCTAGGACATGGGTGATATCAGAGCAGTGAGCAAAGAGGAGAGGTGACAAGTCCTAGGGGTCCCAAGAGTGAGTAAGTGGGTGACAGCCTTGCAAAAGCTCGCTGGGGAATGTGTCCCTCTGCCTCTCTTCCACGGCACCGGCAGCCCAGCACTGGCTGCTGTTAGGACTTCAAAGTCTAGGCGGCCACAGCGCGGGGAGGGGACAGACACAGCCCCAGACAGACTCTGAAACAAGTCATGCCTTTTCTTAGCTCCAGCTGCCCCCCACCCCCTCAATTTAATGGGATTAAGCCATTAAGAGGCCAGGCTACTTCCCTACTTTATTTTTAGCAATGTCAATGAGACACCCAGCAGGGACATCCTGTTTTTAATTAAACTTGAAGAGCCCTATTCTTGTCTCTGGGTAAATATGTCTATGGGACACCCAGGAGCCCAGCTGTGCTCTGCCCTGCGCAGACTTAGGGCAGTGCCATCTGTGGCCAGGGGTCTTAGTAGCCTCCTCATGGCCTGTGTGTGTGTGTGTGTTTCTTTTTCCCTCTGAATGAACCACCTCTAGGGATGCTGGAAAGGAAGGACTTATATCTGAAACGATTAGAAGTTGGGGGATTAACTGAGGGCAGGCACAATTCCAAGAGCTAAAGTTCAGTCTTCTCTCTGAAGGAAACCAGACTGACTTTTCATCAGATGATGCAGGGTTTCTAACAGGACACACCAGGCCCCAGGACAACCCGCCAAGGGCAAAGGAAGTGAGGCAGTTCAAGGTTGTTTTAGACTATGCATAGAGAGCAGGCCCCTGCCTGGGAGGCTAGGCCACGCCAGGAAAGGCGGGAGAGACAGGCCCTGAGGACCCCTCTTGGAAACACTTTTAAAATGGGATCAGTGTCTATGTATCTAGAACGGCACAAGCATTTTTCTGTTCAGAGCTAGAGGGATACACTGTGAGTAACTTCCACAATGTTCTACCAAAGTCCTGGAGCTGCCTTCACAGACGGGGGGAGGCGGGGGGGAGAATAAGGGGCCTACACCTTTTTTCAACCAAAGCAGCTCCATTCTTCTATTAGGTTTCATGTAAGATTTTACTTGAAAAAACTAGCTTATTTTTGCCCAGTCCCATTCCCCCAACTTTTATATGTGTGTCTGTTTCTAAGTAGTCCTACCATCCATCCTGTAATTAAGTCAAAGACATCTTTGGTACCTCTCTCCCGTCTATCTCCACATCCAGGCAGTCGACTAGACCTATCAAATCTGCATCCTTAATAGTTTCCTAAATTTATCATTCTTGCGCATCCCTCCTGCCACCGTCTTGTTTCAAGTCAGTGGTGGTACCCATCATTTTTAGATACAGGTGATGACTATTTTTTTCAGTCTTATGTAAAGTGCTCTACAAAGGCTGCTTCAAAAGACCTCTTGCAAAGACCCCATTTGCTTTCCTAAACAGACATTCTGGAGCTGCTGTGTTTTAGGACTTCACATTTGGTGGGGGGGGGGGTGAGTAATACAGTTCAGTTCTGGAACGTCTGACTGAGGTACCAGTGCAGTGTCTTAGTGGAGAAGTCCAGTAACAGCTGGACAGAGCAGAGGTGAAGATCAGGAAGTGATGTGTTTCTTCATCCATGAAACATTGTTAATAAAGCTGTTTCGAGGTTTAAATGAGATAATGCACGTGTACAAGGTTGACTAGTGTCGGGCAAAAATTTATGTCCACCCAACGGGACCTTATTTGGAAATAGGGTCTTCACAGATGTAATCAAGTTAAAATGAGATCATACTGGATTGGGGTGGGCCCTAATCCAATGATGCGTCTTTATAAGAAGAAGGAAATTTGGACACAGACACAAGGGAAAATGTCATGTGGTGACTGGACAGATGCAGCTGCAGTCTGAAAACCACCAAAGCTCGCCAGCCATCACCAGAAGCCAGGACAGAGGCACGGAGCAGACTCCCCGCCAGGAGTCTCTGGAATGGAACCAGCCATGCCCACGCCTTGATTTTGGATTTCTGGCTTCCGGAACTGTGACGGGAAAATTTCTGTTGTTTGAAACTGCCGAGTTTATGGTAATTTGTTACAGCAACCTAGGAAACTAATACAGTGCGGAAAACACTTAACACAACGCCTGGCCCATGACAAGCACTGAGAAGAGGGGACTTCCCGGAGGGAGCGAAAGGAAAAGAGAGTGAGGCTGCAACGCTGCTGGGGAATATCCACGTTTAGGGAGTGGAAGGAGGAAGGAGTCCACAAAGGGCCCCTGGAGGGCACGGCGGAGAGGGGCCTTTGGGTGGCGGCGCTCACCCATGGCGCCAGATGTGTAACTCAAACTCCATAATGTGCCTTGTCATTTTAAGATTAACCTCCTCATAAGAAAGGGATAAGCCAGACACAGCT